CTGGGCCAGCAGAGCCCCAGCCAAGGGCAGCCTGCCAGGGGGGGGTCTGTGAGCAGTATTTGTATTCTCATCTGTATGGAGGTAGCAGGCCGCACGGTGGGTGGGGGGAAGAGACAGAAGCACAACTGGACAACCAGCGACTCCTTCGGAGCAAAGGCACTTTTCCTCCCCCTGTGCAGCCACTGCTGCTTCTGTCCCTCTCCATCCTCTCCAGAGCCACCCCTGCCCACTCTCAACTGGGACCATCCTATCTGATGCAGTGAGGGCATGGGAGAGGCTGATATCCCCTCCTCAGTCCCTCCTAGCTGGGGAGGTGGGGATCTGTGTGCTGCTGCCGCCTTTGGCTGCTTGTGTCAAACACAAACCCTCTGGGCCCTGACCTTCTGTACTCTCTTAAAGAGGCAGTGCGCTCATATGCTCAGACAGGCACAATCTCTCTCCCCTGAGGACACACCACCAGGGCTCCCAACAGTGGTCCCTTCCCCACCTGGGCTGGGCTCTCTTCCCTTTCCTTGTGCACCCGAGCTGCTTCAGGTGAAGTAGCAGCAGTCCAGTGTGGGAGTGAGCAGCCATGCTAGCTACTTTGGGCAGCACGTGGGTCAGTTTCCCCACACAGGTGCAGGAGGGGAGGTGCTGGGTTTGGGGTGCAGGTGGGGGGTGGGAGTGAAGGGGGCACATTGCAGGGGTTAGAGGCACAGGAGGGAGGTGTGGGGGTAGGAGTGAAGGAGTTGGGGCACAGGAGAGAAGTGCAGGTATTAGGGGCAAGATGACAGTGCAGGGCTGGAGAGGCTGGGGCTGGGGAGAGGGGACAGTGGGGGACCAGGAGCAATGGAGGGCACCATGACCACAGGGGCACCAAGAAGCAAGCTTGCTCAGGGTGCCATTTTTGTCTAAGGCTGGCCTTGAGAGAGAGCCAGCAGATACAGACCAGAGTTCTTCTGAAGTGTGATTGAAGGCAGGAGCAGAAATAGGTCCCATAGTCACAGAGCACTTTTCCCATCCTGCTCCTGGTGTGGGACCAGCACGAGGAGGTGATCGACGAGCAAGTCTCGTGACTTTGTGGGGCCAAGGATGGGATGTGCATAAACCAGGAGGAGCAGGGAAAAGTGCAGCCAGAACCCAAGGAGACTGGAAAAGGGGCTGCAACCTGGTATGCTTTGAGGTAGATGTGCACAAGGGTCTCCCTCATGCCCCAGAAGGGGTTGGCATTGGGAAGAGGAGTGAACTGTGCTTGTACCTGTGCTCACAGGTCCATGAAGGAGTTGCCCACTAATATCCCTGGTAGCCTGCAGGACAAGGGCAAAATAAAGAGTGAGCCATCAGGACTCCTCAGGTGGTTATGGCAGAGGGCTAGCTGAGCAAGAAGACTGATGATCCCTACCCAAACACCTCTATTCATCACCACTCCAGCCCACCATCACCTGATATATATGTGCCCCAACCCTCTCCAGATCACACACCTATAACTTTACTCGTGTCAATCCAAAATGTGGGGAAAAATGCTTGGTCTCAGTAAGCCTATTTTGAAATAGGGAAACCCTAAAGGAGTCAACTGCATAGCAACTAAGTCTGGCCAAAATAAAAGAATCAATGATACTCCCCTGAATGTTAGGATATTGTTGAGCGGTAGCATCACAGGGTTTAGTTATTTGTATGAGACGCAGAGTTAAGGGCAGCCTCTGATTCCCAGCCCATTTTCATCTGATTCAAGCCTGAGGACAGATACTGTAATTCCCCTCTTAGAGAATAAGTTGAGATGATGCACTTCCTGCCTCCGTCAGAATCAAAGGGTTTCTAACAGACCAGGAGAGATCATGGGGATGCTACATCCTACTCTTTTTATGACTTATGTCTCAGGAAGCCCACTCCTGTTTGCTCTTCCTCTTTCAAGAGGACAGATTGCTTCATTCCCACGCACAGTCCTTCCCCCTGGTTCTCCCCCTTTAGTTGCTTCATCTCGCAAACAAGGATTGTCCAACTCTTCACATCAGAGATTTCCATTTGAAGTAAAAAGTCCTTAACTTGTATTACAAAGCTCAAAGCACCTCCATAAATGCATCATAACCTTCTGTCCCCTGAAGAAAGCTTTACAGAAGTTTTCTACTAGCACTTTCATACTAACACTTGTTAAGCTTCACTGGTGTCATCAATACTAGGAACTCCAGACTAGACAAAACTCCTGCAGCTGCCAGCATTTTGCCCCATGGATGATGTGTCTTACCAGGAGCAGGATTAGAAGGCATGAAATTAGGAAAAAAAACACTAAGTGGATCTTAGGCTGTATCTATACTACAAAGAAAAGTCAGAAAAAGATATGCAAGTCTGTGTATCTTTTTCTGCCTTTCTTCTGAAAGAGGCTTTTCCAACATTTGGCCTGTCTACACAGGGCCCAATGTCAGGAAAAAACCCTTCTTTCATAACATCTCTTCTTCCTTGTAAAATGAGGTTCACAGGGATGCTGAAAAAACATGTCTGCTTTTCTGAATTTTTCAGAAAAGGGGAGAAGTTCCCTGGACGCGGCAGAGCTTTTCCGAGATACCTCCAGTAGCCTGGAAAAGCTCTACAGTCTAGACATAGCCTTAGACTACCACTCTTCCACTGCCAGCAGCAGTGATGGGTAAAGTAGTATTTACCAGAGCACAGACAAGGCTTTTGGAAGCAAAGATTTGTGTTTCCAAAGATATCCTCTGCTTTGCTGACGTTTAAAGGGCATCATCCCAACCACGCAGTGGGTAAGGCACTGCAAAACTTGTTCTTCTGTCTTCCCACCACTTCACCAGCAGGATTTAATATGTTTCTTTCATTTAACTTGGCTGTCCAAGCCTCCTTGTAGTCTACAGTCATCATTCATCTCTCCCACAAGTCCATGACTCAAAACCCAATGATCTAGTTCACAACTGGGTTAGATAAGCAGGACCTGGCATAAGATCTCTGGTTTATTAATGAAACATTCAGCCAGAATTCAAAGAGACAGCCATTAAACCTTTGTGCCTCTGAGCCAGATGTCAAGATAACTTAGAGCAGAGAGGTTGAGCAATGAAGCCAGCTGAAGTAACATGACTAAAGTGCCTGTCCTTTCCCTCTGGCTCCGCCATTTGCCTAATTCAAATTTGAGCTGACAGCGTGAGATTTTGAAACAGATTGAACATCTAGCTTGACAGGTCCCAGCTCTTAATTATCTCCGTGCAGAGCAGGGAGTGGGAGAGTTGCTGTGCAGAGATGGAGCCAGGGGGTTTTAAGGCAGGTGTGACTATGTTGTTCAGAATCTTCCTCCGCTGAAGCATGGAACAAACAGGTCTCCACCCACCCCCTAGGGACAGTATAGACAATGGCAGGGAAAGCATCTATAGGACTTCCAATAGGCTTAGTAATCTTAATCTCTTCAATCCACAGGAGTTTGGCAATCCAGAAAACACATTTTTCTAGAAACAGCTACTGTAAAGCAACAAGCTGTTGGTTTATATATGCTACAGCATGTTTTTTGCTCAAACATCCACCAAGGTGAACTCTAGCCCAGGGACATAAAGTTTTTGAAAATTCAAGTACATTCAGAACAGCATAGTTCTACCCTTTCACAGAGTGTTGCTACAGTGTCTTCACTTCTAGCTTGTTGGGTACTTCACTCATCTGTTGTGATCTTTAGCAGTTAAGATCCAGCCAGTGTACAAATAATAAGCTGGAGAGCTAAGAGATGCTACTCTACTGCAAGTATTGTATTGAGTGTTGAGTAAGGGCTCATACTGAATATAAAAAAAAAAAAAACCCCAAGATCCACAGAGGGCACATGAAGTTTATCATTCAGCCATCCCCTCTTCTTCCAGTGTGTCACGCAGAACTAACTGATAAGACTAACTGCAACAACTGCCTCACACTTGGGACATCTCAGTTTGGTACCTGACTTGAGCAGGCAGTAAGAGGAGTAATGGCACTTGCTCCTGCAGCTATTAAGGACTGGAAGGAAGTCAAGAGGAAAGGCTCTCAAGTTGATATATAGAATTAGAACTGCTTTTGAGTTGAGCACAAAAGCAGCATCTGAGATTTGATTTATTTTTATTAAAAAAAACAAACTATAAGATCCATACAGGCATATAAAACAGACAAATAAAAGTCACTTTTGGCCAAAGACCAACCATCAGTGTTAGAGGGTGCTATAAAAGTCATACTATGGAGTTAAAGAGCATGAAGACAGCCACTTATTTAATGCGGTCAGATGTCCAGTAAGAACATTTGCACTGCCATCTACAGACACTTTGAAAACTACTGTCTGATGGTAAATGAATTCGAGAAGTGCTACACAACAGCATACATACATGAGAGAGATGAGGGATAGAATGAAATGTAGTGCAGCAGAGGACAATGCTGTAGTTTGCCTCTCTTCTTCCCCAGAGGGAAACAGTTTCAACAAAAGCCCACCCCAGACAGTAAGAAAGTGGCCCCAATTATTTTAATGGGATTTTATTTCAGACTTTATTTTATGCAAATACTTAAAAAAAAAACCCCACACACAGATCTTCTTTACGAAGTTGAAATGGGAGTAGACAGAAGAGGAACAGTCTCCTTCCTCAGTACTTTTTCAGGTTGTAGGGCAGGCCCAACGTAGACTTGGTACCAGGAAGGGGTGGCGAGTGCCAGACAGCAGAGCTGGTGCGTTTGAAATATCGTGGCTTGCACTTGTAGAAAATGTCCTCCAGTTTAGGGCTCACAATGAGCCCGAAGAGTGAAATAATATTTGGAGGGTTGTAGTATTGGCAGGTAACAGCTTGATTAAGCTGAGCCCCTGGAAAAATAAACACTGTTATATGAGCAGTCCAAGTAGCATCTCAATGTTCTTAAACCTCACTCCCCTGGTGCCATGATTACTGTGAGTCAATGTATGGGGCCCAAAATCTAGAAGCAATCCTCCAAGCACTCTTGCCCTGCAGAAAGGCCCCATCACGCCAGTCTTGGAAAAGATTTGGTATGGGTATGGCAAGATACTGAACTGGATCATAATAAAGTTTTGCCTGGCTTCATATAGAAGCCTACATTCCCCCTCAGGCATATAATATAACTGGTTTCTAAGACATCTTTCACATTCTTGGCATCTTAAATATGCTGGGGAAACTTATTGAAAGTGAGGATTGCCTAGATATGTTTTCAGATGGTGCAAAAGCACTTCAGCTCTAAGGAGGGGCACAAGGGACTGTGAATTAACATCCGAACAACAGAACCTGCAACTAGTACCATATAGCACAGCAGTAAGCTGAAGTCTCAGAATCATAGAACACTAGAACTGGAAGAAACCTTGAGAGGTCATCAAGTCTAGTCCCCTGCCCGCACGGCAGGACCAAGCACCATTCTAGATCTCATGCACTTCTGGCCTAGATTGTGGTCTGATTTGCTTCTAAGCTTCGCTGAGAAGTCTGGAATCTTCTAAATTCTCCAAGTTTCAGTGGGTATTTAAAAACAAAAATCTGCACATACCAGTAGCCCAGGGAGGGATGGGCTTGCGGGGCTGGCTTTCATCATCTGTGGAGTCATCACTGTTCAGATCCAGCCCGTAGTTATTTGGATTTACCTTGGGGAATCTGGGTTCTCTGGGGCCCGAAGAGGGCCCTTGATACGAGTCCAAGACGGGAGATTTCTGAAACCATATAAAAAAAATTAGATAAAGCCTTAAAATAGATCAGTGACCTTAAGGTTACTTCCCTCTAGGGGTGATGAGATATGTGAGTTGCTGGAAAGAACCCATTACTGAGTTTGATTATTCTGTTCCAGAATCTGGGGCTGTCTACACTACAGAGTTTTTGGAAAGACGGCTATTTTCCCAAAAAAACTTCACTTCACAAACTTCACTGCAATAGCGTTCTTTCGGGGGAGGAAAAAAAAAAAACCCGCGAAAGAACAGAGGGGTTTTTCTGACATTGGTAAACCTCTTTGTACGAGGAAGAAGCCTTTTTCTGAAAGGCCAGGGAAGAGTGAGTTCTTTTGAAAGAAGAGGAAAAAGGAAAAAGCCCAGGTGCTCTGATGGCCACTCCTTCCATAGTAACCACAGCTTAAATGTGAAATAGTGTCCATTCAGTGTGAACACTCTCTTTTGAAAAAGCAGATCGCTTTTTTGATGCATTTTGGCAGTATGGACGCTCTCTTTTGGAAGAAGTTTTTTTTGGAAAATCTCTTCCGGAAAAGCTTCTTCTGAAAAAAGCCTGCAGTCTAGACCTAGCCTGGGATTCTTCTGGGAGCAGTAGATTTACAATGTGTACTCTAAGCATCTCTAGTGCCAACAGCAGGTTGTATGAGAACTAATGTCAGCACCAACAAGTTTATTAAGCTAGACAGTATTGCTGACATTCATACACTAGGTTTTAGTCACACATTATTGTTCTACTATGAGTCACTGTGGGCAGGAGAGTGAAATAGATGCTCAAGTATGGAGAAAACAAAAGGTGAGCCATGGAAGACAGGAAGTGGAAATGGTGTAACTCTGGCAGTCAATGTCACATTCATACCCAAACTTTACTCCCACTCCAAAACACCAGATCCAGAGATCATACCTGCCTGTTTATGGGAAGGCAACAAACAGCCAAATGATAATTCAGAAGGAAGGAACATACAGGTCAAAATATGGGCTGGGATTTTCAATTGCCTAACTCCCTCAGATTCTTATCAAAGCTTTTTTTAATTTTTTTAAAACTTAAACACACTCTAGAATGGCACTCATTCCAAAAGTGACCTGCAGGGCACTGCCCTATAGTAACCATAAATGGCAGAATGTTTTGGGTATGTAAAATGCCATTGCTATAAGGCAGTCATCTAAGGATACTGCAACTTCCAGAGGGCAACCTCGGTGCCCACTCAGAAAAATCATATGCAGTGTCAGGCTAGAGCTAAGCGTGTGTTACAGCACAGGAAGAAGGAAAAAAAAAAATCAATCACTCACTTCATATGCCAGTGGGGATCCTTGTGTAGTGAAAACCAGCACTCTTCCCACCACACCCTATAGGGGTTGATCAGGTTGCTTTGGCTGTGCTTCCAAACAATAGTTTCCAACCTCTAATTTTTTTCCATCCATGTGCAGAATAAATTTTTGTTGTGTACACCAAAGCATGTGCAGATGTGTATCACCAATAGAAAACACATGCTACTAGCTGCAGGAGGCTGGGGAAACTCTGCTAATTAGCTGGGGGGCATCGGATTCTACTGTGGGTGGTCACCCAACTGTGCAGCTTACAGAAAACACTGCTTCCAACTCATGCCAATGGAGAAGGGTAGCAGAGGTAGGAATTAGGACTTGAATATGGATCTTTTATTTAGTAAGCTACCAGGCTGTGCTGAAGTGTAGTATTTTAAGCTTCAGGATTGCTGCATGCTTACAATACAACACTGTTTCCTCAATTTCTCTGAGCCACATTTGCTACAGTTAACTTGCCTTTTTTCCAAGTTAAGTGTAGAGAGTCATCTCAAATCACTTGTTGCTGACAGACATAAAATGAACTGTATACAAACTAAAAAAAGCAAGTTGCCCTGTTTTTTCTCCCCCCACACTATAGGTGTTCAGCAATGCCATCTTTCATTCAATAGCAATACTATAGCTGAAAAGTACAGCTCAGAGTAGCAACAACAATTACTCTGACTGTAAATTAACTTGTGCTTGTCCATGCAGCATACTGTGCAGGACTGAGCACCATTAATGGTATGGTAGGAGGTGAGAAGATGGATAGTCACAAGACTGGTTCCTTCCATCTCACTCCCTCCTCACAGCAGCAACTGCAGGGAACCTACCCATCACATGTGCTTGATGTTCCTGTTCTACAGCAAACAAGACTCCTGAAAGGTGCACACATCGAAGTGGCTTCTTACCACCAAAAACTACTTCAGGAGTCTTCATATCGACTTCATATCTTTTCCAAACCAAGGGAAGGAGTCACTGACTCAAAGCATTACACATCTTTCCCGCTCCAAGAGAACATAAGTATGTTACATTAGTGCTCAGATACTATGCATAGGGTACAAAAGTCAGCATTTGATAAGCCACCAACTAATCTACCTTTGAATCCATTTTTCAAGCCTCTTTGCTAGGATGCCTACAAATTGTTTCCATCTGGCACAGGAGAGACAAGCGCTAAGAAGAGGCTTGCATTTTTCCAGTAGTCTCTGTTCATTGTGTAACTTCATTTTCCACCCCCTCTCCATCTGTCCACTCGTCACATAGCATTGGACCCCTAGATGGTAGTTTCTCTGGAGGAGGGAATGGGTTACTTGTCTGCCCAGTGGTTAGTACTGTGGGACCAGGGCAGGAATGTTTAGCAACAACCATAATACAAACCATAACACAAAATGATGTTTTTAACATTCAGTTCCTGTCTACAGGAAAGTGCAATGCCGAGTCATTTTTAGAAATAAACATATGAATCCATGAAACTTTCACTTAGCCATATTTCTGCTCTCTGAAAATTCTCTGTGCATTGAAATTGTCCTTTGTCCCAGCATGGCTGAACAGGGACAGTGTGTCAAAATGAGACCCACCACCTTCTGCAAGGACATTTCCTAGGAGAACCCAATTAAAAAACAAGTCCCTTGTTTTTCCAGTGATCTACAAAATACAATCACAAACTACAAGACACGTTAAGGTTCAGAAGGTATCAGGAATTAGACAACCAGAAGTTACACAAGAGGCAGTAGTTGGCTGCTTGAAAATAAAATTATGCCCCAAATCTAGCATTTTAACTGGATTCACTGAACACATGTAGGCTATTAACACATGGAGGAGTTTCAACCCCAATGGTGAGTTCAAGGCAACTGGAGACATGTGAAGTTTCTCAGCTACCCAGTGTCACTAGCCAGAAGCTACAATACAGCACAGACTTCCACAATTCCTCAAGATCTAGCGCCATCATGTGGCCATTTCCTATCACTTGTTTTGAATTTCCAACAAAAGAATTCTCTCTGGTATTTCTATGATGAGCCAAGTTACTTATGGCTGCTCAAGACAAGACACATCCCTGCCCTCTGTGAAGGAGAATGCCTCACACAAAGGAAAGGCTTCCACCTACCCAGGAAATCGGAGCCCAGAAGACACTGGAACCCCACATCTCTGCTCAGCCTCTTGGCTCACTCACCTCCACTGTTATATTCAGCCATTTGCTGGGAATAGCAGCAACAGATTGTGGTGGCTTGGTTTTATTTTCCTGTGATTGCTGCCGTTCGTGTTCTTCTGGGCTCTGTTCCTCCTGTTAAGTTATAAACAGATAACCCCTATGGCTCCCATAGAACCCAACTCGACCTATATGAGAGGCCCACACATCCCCTCCCTCCATCTGGTTGTCCCATCCTGCGGACTCGATCCCCAGAGAGGAGGAGCAGGAGCCTAACAAAGAATGGTTGTGCTCCAATATAGCCTCTTGCTGACTGGAGAAGATTAGGTAGGCCCCACTGCTATCCTGCACTAAGTGAATACAGCTGGTAAAGCTAAAGGCATCCTCAAGGCCAGAGACATCAATAGAATAAAATCTACTGCATAACAGTCTCAGCTCCCCACCTTCTTCTGATTTTCTTCTGCCTCTGTAACCACTGCCAGCTCCATCTGCAGGTGAGGACACTTCTTCTCTTGTTTGTCATTTCTGGCAAATCAAAGCATAACCAAGTGAGACAAATAGGGCTCAGATCATCTTCATCCAGAAGCCACTACTACAGCCCATCACTCATACCCTTCTCCTAGGATTGACAAGATTGGCTTTGCCATGCTTGTCCCTTCTCTCTCTTTTCAGGGTTTGGAAACAGGCCAGCTCTCACCTCTCCTTCGCCTGTTCCACCTGTCTCTGCTCTGCCAGTTTCTTCTGCTCTGCCATCTTTCTTCCTTTGTCCGGATGTTCATCCTCTTTCCTCTTCTGAAGTAGCTCCTGCTGCTTGTGTTCATCGTCCTCCTGGGAAGGGGTGGGGGTGGGTCCGGGGGGGGGGGGGGGCCGGCGGCAAGTAGTTGAGTTTTGGGTCAAAAGCCCTTTCCTAGCCTTAATGCCACCTAGTCTGATCCATCCTCATTGGTCTTGGACCTTAGTTGTGCAGCTCCTTCTCCTGCTGCCCCACCCCATTTGCTCCCATATGAAGAGGGACAAACCCCCTCAATGTTACAGCATCTATTGCAGTTGGGCATAGGTGACAGCACAGTTACCCACTGCCACAATTAATTTAGTCATGGAATAGCTAGGACATGTGGGATGGAATTATGCTCCTGAGCCTTCTTAGCCACTTACAGGAAATGGCTAGGTCTGAAAATTTCAGTCCTATGGGAAAATGTATATGAAGGAGAGGTCAATACCATGCACGTTTATGGCACTATGGAACTCATAATGGTGAGAAGCACTAGCAGAGACCTGGAGAGTGACTTTATTCCCACACTCACCTGGAAGGAAAGAAATAATAAGGCACCTTAGTCACCAAAGGTGTAGGCTCTGAGGGACAGTGGGGTGAGGAGAGACAGAGTGAGTGTACATACCTAATCTGACACACTCGTTGTCTGTTCTCCCATAGCTATCTACTGTTCCCTGTTCTGCCCGCTTCCCCATATGCAAAACACTGTAGGCTTCCCCATCAAACTCTTCCCCTATGGGATGGGGTCTGATCTTGCTCTTACCATGTTCAGCACTTTCTGTTTTCGGGTCTCCATATCCCCAGGTTTCTTAATTATCTTTTTCTTCATCTTTTCTTCTACAACCTTCTCTTCTCGCACCTGAGAAAAATCACACACACATCAGGTCTGGACCCTACCCAGCCTCCTATGGGACCATCTTGCCATGCTTATCTACCATAGAAAGAAAACACAGGAGCTTTTCAGGTGTGTGGAGTTCATCCTAGCCCATGGAGGAAATACCTTTTTCTGGAGCAGACTGAAAGTCCAAAGCCCCAGTGAAGCGTGTACCACTCACCCACCCACACACACATGCTTTCTGTAGGCTGGTATCTAAGAAAGTAGCTCTTCCACTACACGTGCTGCATCCAGTTGCAGGAGCATTGGCCCTTGCACTAAAGGTGAACTGTAGGAATGGCTCACATGTTTTAGTACAGCGTGAACAGAGTTAATTTCTGTTCTAAGTACAGGTCTGTTTGGACCTAATTTTAGGCCTGACTGGGAACAGAACCAAGTGCACCTGTCCCAAACCCAAGAGAGTCAAGTTGTTCTTTGATTTGAGCACAACCCTGCTAGGAAACCTGATTCAGCAACATCAGAGGTCATCCAAAGAGTCAGCACCGCAGTGAACCTCTCTCTTGCTGCTTTCAGCTACACTGACTGTGCTGTGTAACAAGCATGCCAAGAAATCAGTGCTTGTCACTCTGCTGTTCACACAAAGCACAGTGAAATGGTGCCAGCTGGCAGCGATGGGGTACACAGCTGGCACTGGGCTGACCCCATAGGCTGGAGGAGAACTGAGCCAAGCCAAACCTGAGCACCTGGTTGTTTTCCCACTCAACATGGGCCCAACTCTTGTAGTCTAGCTGCTACAGGGCTAACTATATGCTTTAAGGAAATAATGTTATGAATATGCATAACTTGAAAATACTTTACGCAAAATACTTTGTTAAGTATCATTTGAAAGGGGATAACCTGCTGAATGTGTATATTCTATTATTCCTGAATTTGAAGTTAGAAATATGAAGTATTAACCTGTGTTACTGATGCAGACATGCTAAGTGAAGGCCATTAAGGTTATTTCAGAAACTTGATTACTCATTGACCAGGTCAATGATCTGTAAATGGGTTTGATTTTCCTATGAGCCAGTCCATAGGAGGGGAGGAGTCCCCATGGGACATGTGCTTAGGTCACCCGATGCTGGGACTCATTTTGGATGTTGTACTTTTCCCACCAAAAGTGAGAAAAAGTTTAAACTGAACACAAAGGATTCCTGCCTTTGGAAAACTCTGTATGAAGGTGGGAAGCCAAACAATAAGGGCTGCTGCCAGATGTCAAGATTCCCCTGCTTATCATCCAAGATGACAGCTAGAAATATCTATGACTGAACAGGGGAAAGATTAAGCTCAGACTGGGAGGATTCCAGACTGTGAAAGAAGATGTTTAGAACTACTGTTAGAGTAAGTTAATCCATGTATAAGTTTTAATGTTTAGCTGGCGCATTGTCTTTTATTTTGCTTAGTAACTAACTTTGTTCTGTGTCATTACTTACAACACTGAAATCACTTTTTATAGAAAATGAAACTTACTTCTGTTTGTCAATAAACCAGTGACAGTAAATTTTTAGCGCTCTTTTTACACAAGAAAGAAGGTGGACAAAGTGAGCTTCCTCTGTATAAAATTGTATATATAGAGTAAAATAGATTTATCTGGGGTTCAGGTCCCACTGTGCCTGGGTGCTGAGCTTCTCAGTGTCTATATTATATTGCTGTAGGCTATAACCCCATCCCTGTACTAGTGTTGGAGGGCCTGAGTCAGCTGGACAGAGGACTGAGGGGCACCCATGATTGTCAGGAAAGTTCAGTGATATTTCAGCACATCAAGTGGCAGACAGACACAAAGGGATCTCTGTGCCCAAGCCAGTCACAACCACTCAAAGAGCTTAGAGTACCAGAGACACTGAAATCCACAATCAGAATAACTAATACTGTTGCATGGATGTGACGGAGAAGAGACTTTTCCCTGTTGAACAAAGGCCCTTAAGTAACTTTTTGCTCTAATTGTGCATGGCTCGTTACCCACTCATGGTCCTGTGGTCACTGTCACTAGCATTGAGGATTTTAGTAAGAGCCAATATGTTACTCACACAGTGAAGCAACCCATCACTGTTGCCTACTGCATTCGCTGCCTTGTGAAAACCCAGCTGCCCCCAAGAGCTCAGTTTCCTGATTGGGTCTCTTACCTTCTCACTCTTCTCCTCAGTTTGAGAGAGTTTCTGTTCCATCCGCTTCTTCTTTTCCTCCTCCATCTGCTCCACCCTTTCCCGAGCTTGCAATGCCTTCTTCAGACGCTCCTCACGTTTCCTGGGGAGCAAGCGGGAGCGGGGACAGTTAGCTTTGCCTGCAGTGGAAATTTGCCTTATAGATATCAATGCCCCAACATTGGAGTAGTTAGTGCACTGATATAAACCCCCAATGCAGAGTGTAAGAGCCTTGCAGTGGCACAGCCTGTCCTTATAGGCACCACTGGTACCAACAGTGGCTGTACATCATCTACGCTAGCTCTTTGCCCAAGGCACCTGTAGCTAACTACCAATGGCAGTATTCAGAGCAAGACACCAGTGCAGACATGACCTCAGTGATTCAGAATGGAGCCAGAAAAGGAGCAGCTGAAGGGGCAGCCACTCACAATTTCATCTCCTCAAGGCGCCGTCTCTTTTCCTCCTCAACTTTCTGTTTTCTTTGTTGCTCGGCCTCCTGCTTCTTTCTCAGGCTCTCCAGCCGTTGCCGCTCCTTCTCCTGGGGCAGGCAGGAAGCTCAGATTATGCCCAGCTGAAGGGGCTGGTTTCTGTACCAGGCTACTTAGGCGTAGGAAGCCAGAGACAAGACAACTGGAAACTGCAGCTTCAGTCAGAGACAGAGTCACACTCCCTCCAGAATAGGCATGTGTCAGAAGAGAGATAGGGCTGTCTTGGCAGCAGTGCCAATTCAGCCGCTCTATCTCCTGGAGTGGAAAAGGAGCTTGGAAGGGGAGTGGGGCAGTTCCAGTGTGTAAGACACCTCAGGCCCAACATCCAAGCAGAAACAGTTACTGCAGAGGAAACATTTAGGCAAAGACACCATCAGTGACTGTGCTGCTGTGTTCACCACAAACCAACTAATACTACTAGCTAGCTTTTAATGTTAAAAATGTGAAGATTTCTCCATTCTTTTCAGAGCACTGAAGAGACCCCTTAACATGTCATTTTTAGCCACAGGGCCGTGCACAGCTGGCCAAGAGAACTAGGTGAGATCTTCTGACTCAAGCTCAGAGCACTCAGAAGTTAAGTTCTTAATCAACTTAGAAGGCAAGAGAGCTCAACAAGGAATCAGTACTAAGCTTCCTGCACTGGTCCTGAGGAGCAGCAGAAGAGGAACAGAGCAGTGTTTTTTTTATATTTGGAAAGAGACTGAAGTTAACAGCCCCAGTCACAAAGGATACAGATGTTAAACAAGGTCTGTGATACCAAAGCACCAGCCAGGTATAAATATACAGAAGCAACCAGCCCCATGATGTCTATATAAACACACTACCTCATCCTTGCTTCTAACTGAAGGGATGTTTTCTAGACACGGAGCATCATGCATTGGCACAAAGTGGATAAGCTGAGCAGCATATGGTCAACCTCCTTTCATTTTTGAAGGTTGTTCTCTGCCGGAAAGAGAACTGCAATAAGTATTGTCCTGTAGCTGCTAAATCCACCACAACGAATAGTGTTGGAAGGAGCAACAAGAGGCATTGTCCTGATGTGGTGAATCCACATCCCATGGAATAGCTTTCCTTTCATCAACATGGCCATAATTGCACTCAATAAAATAGGTGCTCACAACAGGGCTCTAGCTGCTGGTTAACTCTCTTGCTGCTGCATTTGGGAGACTCAAACTTGAGTAGAGCAGAAGTCATTTAACTGGTGCAGATTCAATACCATTGCCACTACTGCATTGAGGAAAAGGTCTCCTAGGAACTGGCTGGCTTTGGAGCGCTCAGCTCAGAATTACACAAGGCACCTCATCCTCTGGGAGCCTCTAGCATTGGATACTGATCAGCATAGCCAGTCACAAGGCCAGGTGGAAGAGTGGGTAATGATTTTTTTCCAAGACACTAGACAGTGTATGTTGAGGTTTTTAGTGTAGAAGACAGAATGTAAGACCTTTTAAGATTAGTTCATTCCCAGTGGCTAAAGCATGATTGTTCCCTACAGTATACTCTCCTGGGTTTTGGCCAGCTTAGTCTGAGTGACAGTAAGTAGTAGCTCTTCCACTATTTCCCATGGAAAGCATTTTACAGCCTTTGAGCTATCCATTAGCAGTCCCCTTCAGAGATTCGCAGTTTGTATTTGCCACGGCGGAATTTCATTCAGACACTCAGATCCCCTTTGGGCCACTGAACAATTTCACTCACTTCCTGGTGTGCACACCTCCACATGCTTCCCAGTGCATAACTTCATTCTCAGAGAAGACTCTGAAAATAATACTAGGTCTGTGCGCAGATTAGTGGTGAGGTTAAAAGTCTGCCAGTGCCCATTAGAGAGGTGATAAATGTGTTCACCATGAGCCCAAGGCACCAGTGATTAGGGAGTCATTACTTACAACAAAATCCCCCTGTTTAGAAAGGAGAAACAAGGATTACTGCTTTTGCAACTAGTTGAGTAAACCTAGAACCATAACCTTTGGACTTTACTCTCATCTTACCTAGCAGTGAGTGATGATGATGATGAAGCAGCCAAATTGCTTCTCAACTCCAGACTTTGTGCTGCTTGTCTTACAAATGTCCAGCAGGCTACTGGACAGCAAACACCTGATTTCAGATTCAAAGTAGTGTCTGCTGATGATCCTGGAGTTTGGCAATCCCAGATTATGATGAGTTTTGGCTGAATGTAGCAGAATAACAAGGCTGCTAACAGAATTGCCAGGCCCCATGGCAAGGAGGGGGGCCAGATCTCAGGCCCCCAGAAGAGGTGGGGCCTCAGGCAGAAGAGGTGGGACTGGAGGCTAGCCTCCCCCAGCCAGCCTTTCAACATTGCCCAGGGCTCCACCAGTGATTAAAAGGGCCTGCTGCTTCCCTATAGTTATGCTGACCATATTTTTCTGAACCAAAATTAGGGACACATTAGCCATACTCCCTGATCCCCATTAGCCACGCCTCTGGAGGTAACACTCTCAGAGTCAAGACCAGATGGACACATGATCAGAAGTAAAAGGTGTCATGTGACCCCCACCAAACCCCCCCTCATGCAACTATCCTGCAATTACATTAACCCAATGTGTGTGACATTAACTCAGGAGTGGGAGGGACAGAGAGGCGGGGAGAAATGTTCCCTCTAAGAGTTTCCTCCCACGAGCAGAATGGATTTTGTGTTGCGCACCACTACTGAGTTCATGTGGCTTTTTTGGATGTGCCACTGTGGCACACAGAGCACTCCGAACCGCTACCATTTCCCTCTGCTGTCATGTCTCCTCCCCTTGCTCCTGCTGTCCCCCAACACCTCACCCTCTTCTGCTGTCCTGACTCCTGCCCTTTTCACTCCCCTCAGCCCTCCTGGGACCATGCAGAGAGCACACCGGCAGAGCCCAAACCTACCCCACTCTGTAGCGCTCCAGCCGGGCTCTGTGCAGTCTCTGCCAGGACTCCGGCAGCAGCTCCCAGGAGCGACTTGCCGGGTTTATCCCCCTCCCCCTCCAGCAGCAGCTGCCTGGGGATGGAGGAGGCAGCATGGCCAGGCTGGCAGTCACACAGCAGGAGGGAAGGGCCACAGGGGAGGAGGAGGAGAAGGAGAAAAAAAAACGTGCCAGATGGCAACACGTGCCGCAGGGGGAGCTTGGTGCTCCAGATACTGTGCACCAACGGCAGCGGCCCTGGGTGCCCACGCAAAGCACCAAGGGAGTCGCTTATGTGCTGGGTGGAGGCGGGGTGTTGCTGTTGGGCCACACTAGTGCTGGGTGTCTGCGAAGGTGTCCCAGGTGGACGGGGGTGGGGAATGGCGGTGCCATTTGTAGCCGGATCCCAACGGGTTTTCCGGGACATTTGCTGCCTTTATCGGGAAACCAGGACAGAGCCCTTAAATCCAGGACTGTCCTGGAAAAAAAGGGGCTTATGGTCACCGTACCTATAGTATTAGCAGCGAGTTCTGGATGCTTATAAATTTCCAGACCCCAGGGCAGATGTCCCTCCTGCCTCCCTCAGTCGCCCTGCAGAATATTCAAGATTTCTCTACATGCATAAAAATACCTTATGGAGTTTATGTTCAAGATCACAATGTGTGTTGAGACTCTGATATTAGCTAACTCACAGGGCAATGCAAGACCAGATTCATTATGATTTTAAGGTGGCCCTATACCATAAAGGAGTTATAAAAATGCACATTTTCAAATATACAGAAATACATCTAAAGCTTTGCTTTCCTTGCATGATCTTCCCCTCACCCAATGCAGCACTAATACCACCATTACCTCAGGAGCAAATTATACTCCTGAGGGAATTCTGCAGAATTCCACTGTAGCAAAAAAATGTATATTTTAGTTAGTATTGGTTATAAGACTATAAGCATGATATATAATTTCATGTATAATGACTTGTTTATAAATTCTGTAGCTTTCTCTCTCTCTCCCCCATGGTTAGATAATGTTTAGTGTAAGGCCTTGCTCCCTGTTAGCATTACAAATCAAGTTGCTCCTCATGTCTGCATCACGAACTAAGTTGTGTCTTTTAGTAATTATTGATCTTGTCTGAAACTGCACCATTATGTGGTGTGAGTGGAGGGTGTGTGCGTGTGTAAGTGTAAAAGCCATCACAGATGTCCAGGTGATCAGGAAGTAGAAACTTAAGATGCAAGGAAACATGTGTTGTCTCTTGAGGCTGAATTGAATTAGCAGCCTTGATGAACCCTGGGGACAGGCAAAGATCCCACCAAGGCTACACCTACACTGGCATGATCTTGCGCAAAAACTCTTTAATGCAAGAGTTCTAGCGTTAAAGTAGTTGTGCAAGAGAGCATCTACACTGGCATGTGCTTTTGCGCAAGAGCATCCATGCCAGTGCAGATGCTCTCTTGCGCAAGAAAGCTCTGATGGCCATTTTAACCATAGGGCTTTCTTGCACAAGAAATTCATGTTGCCTGTCTACACTGGCCTCTTGCGCAAGAGCAGTTGTGCAAGAGGGCTTATTCCTGAGGCTATGTCTAGACTGCAGGCTTCTTTCGAAAAAGGCTCTTTCGAAAGCATCTTTCGAAAGATCGCGTCTAGACTGCAGGTGGATCTTTCGAAAGAGCAATCCGCTTTTTCGAAAGAGAGCACCCAGCGAGTCTGGATGCTCTCTTTCGAGGAAGCCCTATTTACATTGAATAATGCCTTCTTTCGAAAGAGGAACTTTCGAAAGAAGGCGTTCTTCCTCGTGAAACTAGGTTTACCGCCATCGAAAGAAAAGCCGCGTTCTTTCGAAATTATTTCGAAAGAACGCGGCTTGAGTCTGGACGCAGGGGAAGTTTTTTCGGGAAAAGGCTACTTTTCCCGAAAAAACCCCTGAGTCTGGACACAGCCTGAGTGGGAGCATCATACTTCTTGCGCAAGCAGCACTGATTTCATTCATTAGAATGTCAGTATACTTGCGCAAGAACTCGCGGCCAGTGTAGACAAGCAGCAAGTTTTTGCACAAAAGCGGCCACTTTGGCACAAGATCGCGCCAGTGTAGACAGCCCAAGAGTGAGAAACGATGGGAATCCTGAACACTATCAAAGGATAACTCTTGCAGAATACAGATTAACACCTCCTAAAGGCGGATGATAGCAGCATGACACTGGATAACCCACAGACCCCAACGAGAATTTACCTTAGTAAGCCTTGCCTGGCCAGTAAGACTGACTTTAGCCACCATGGACATATGGGTGTGCGTCTCATATGCTAACTACTTCTCTACTGTACTCTCAATAAAACACAGTGTATTGCCTTTTCCCCTGAAAAAGATCCTGTGTAGTTCTTATAAGCATAACACTACATTGGGCGTGCACAATTTCCTCGCCCTGAAATCAGCTGCAGAGATTTGGCCACCACTGGGGGCCAATGGAGCAGCTTGCAGTAGAACACAAGGCCCAGGGGCAGGGCATGGGGGGGGGGGGGGGGGGGGGGGGAGGCAA